GGTCAGATTTAAAAGGCAATGGACTAACATTTTTGTTAGAGGATATTTCAATACGACATAACACTGAAGATTTGGCGTAGTTATCACTGATAACTTTTTTATGCAGGTCCACATTTTTAAAAAGATGGTCAAGCAGGGCAAAAAGAAACACAAAATGCAGTGTTGAAGAAGAGAAGAACACTGTGAGGCTTAACGTTACAGCCGAGGCCTGTGCTGAAAGAGAGGTTGTCCCTAAAGGTAACTTTAAGAACTTTCCTGATTGATGGGAAGGGTGACCCGAGGGAAAGCTCCACCCGAACAAGCTTCCCACAAGTGAAACTAAAGAGCCTCAGGAGTTGTTAGCTCCTGGAAATCAAAGGCTTCAACCTCAGAAAGTTGCTGCTAGTGTGGCCAAATGGAACAAGGGTCCATTCCAAGCTGGCGGCTGAACTTGACACTGCTGTCCATACATGTGACACGGGCCCTGATACTGGCTTTGGAAACATGAAAATGATATGAAGGTGCAGTTTAAGCAAAACACTGTGCCCAATGTGAATGTGGGGGGTCCCCAGAGAGACCCCACTGGGAGAACAGCAGGCCACAAGAAGCCAAGGCATAAGGCTCTTAAAATAAAGTCTGGGTTTCACTGGAAACCCCAAGATGTTGTAGATGCCAGAGCCATGAAATATCTGTCAAGGAGAACTGCATACAGGAAGTAGAACCAGCTTAAGAGAGAGAGAGAGAGAGAGAGAGAGAGAGAGAGAGAGAGAGAGAGAGAGAGAGAGAGGTCATTGGCAGCTGAGTGGGTCATCTAAACTCAGCCATCGAACATAGGCCAACAGGATTTGGTATTTGTCTGCTGGGCTTCAGTCTTGCTTTGATCCAGGATTCCCTCACTACCCGATTTATCCCTGTCAAAATGGGAATATATATTATGTGCCATTGTATGTCGGTTGTAATTTGGCTTGTTTTGGTTGTAATTTCCAAGGGAAATCACAGTTGGAGGATTGCTTTGAGTCTCAGAAGATACTTTTGCCTTCTGACTTTCAAACGATTTTGACTGGTAAAGTCTACAGAGACTTTCAAAGTTAAAGTAAATGCATTCTTTTCCACCATGATATGGCCATGAGTCAGGAGAGACCAGGGAATGCATTGGTGACTCGAGTGAGAAAGGTCCCCTCCCCTCCAGGCTCACCTACCGGAACAGTCGGCACCAAGAGAAGACAAGGTATTCCAATCAAATAGAGCTAGGAAACAAGCAGGCACAGATATTCTTTCTGATATCTGACAAAATTTCACACTCAAGGCCAAAATCCACCAAGCGGATGTCTTCAGTATATATACCCCAAACATAGGCATAGCTCCTTTCATGAATCAAACACCAGTAAATTTAACACAGGGATGGTGGGTGACTTCAGTACTCCATTATTAACAATAAACAGGTCATTGGGATAAAAACTAAACAGAAACGATGAAGTTAAATGATGTCATAAATTAAACAAACCTAACATATATCTATAGAGCATCCCACCAAACCCTGAAAATATGCATTCTTCTAAAACCAACAGCACATGAAATATTCTCCAAAACAGGCCTCATTTTAAGATACAAAGCAAGCCTTTTAAAATATAGGGAAATTGAAATAACATCTTGCTCTATCTGACCACAAGGGGATAAAGCTGGACTTTACCAGCTAGATAAACTGCCAAAATACAAACATCATTGCTGAATGCCTGTGGTGTTTCTCTGAAAGAGTTGTTGCCACAACCCCTGGTCAGGTCTCCAGCATGGAGCACAAGACTACTGCAAGTGTGCCAGTGAGTGATGGCTCTAGGCCACCTTAGACACAGCTGCATGCCGTGTACATGGAACCCTGTGTTATATCTGTATGGGCAGAAGCCCTGCTGCACCATTTACCCAACAGGACTCGTCTAGTATAGATCACAGGCCACCTCATCCTCCTGGAAGGCGCAGACTCTCATTTGTAGCTCTTCTGGTCTCTTGTGGCTGCCCTCTCCCCAGAGGTCCCTTGGTGACATATCTTTCTGGGTCCTGAATTCTCCCACAAAGAGGTAGGCTTTTTTAAAACCTCAGCAGGCACAGAGTCATGCTGACCATCAACAACAAAAAGACGTAGAATAACTGTACGCCACAGTCTGGGGGGTTGTTCTTCTCACCCCCTCCACCTCCTCCTTTTTTCCACACATCTAGCAGGGTCCAGAGCATCCCCCTGCAAACCTGTACACAGACTCATCTCTACTCTCTCAAACCCACCCCTGCTGAAACCACAGTCATGTCACCCGTGTGTAACAGCCCAAGAGGAATCAGATGTGGCAACCTTTGTGCCTCGTTGTAACTAAGAAAAGTACAGCATCTTCTCCCAGGGTTACAACAAGCCTAAGGGAAAGGCACCGCATCTGCCATGGTCAGGTGAGCATGGGACTGACTTACATAAAATGACACTAATTAGCAGGATTCCAAACCAGAGCGCCACCTCTGGCTGGCTACTTGGCTCCGTGAAGAGCCTCCGTTGTTCAGTGACTGAGCTTCCTCTCCCCCATGTGATCACAAACCCATCAAGCCTTTGGTCCTCCTGCTTCAAGAGAGTACTCACTGGCCTCTCTCTTTCCTCCTTGTGATATGAAACTGGTCCATTTCAAAAGAAACCTCAGCACAAAAGATGTAGAAAAACGAAGTCAAGTGGCCTAGAAACCTCAGAGTGTATGCCTCTGACAAACCTAAGACAAATGAGAGGGAGAGGGGAGATGAGGATGACAAGGATTTCATCTGTCTTCCTTCGAAGCTGAACAGAGAGGAGACAGCAAAAGGCTTCACACAGCAATCATCTTTTCACCCAGAACTGTTTGGGGACCAGAGAGAAGGCACAGAGCATAAAAGCACTCTGAGTTCAACCCCAGAATCCATGGTGGAAATAGAGAGCTGACTCCTTAAAGTTGTCCTCTGACCCCCACATGTGCCTGGTCAGTCATGTCAGCCTCCCCCTCCCCTTCCCTTTCCCCTCCCTCTCCCCCTCCCTGTTCCCCTCTCCCTTTCCCCCCTCCCTCCCCTTTCTCCATCCCTCCCTCCCCCTTCTACCTCCTCTCTCTCTCTCAAACACACACAAAACTAGTGAAAGAAAAGAGAATGACTTGAAGTTTCTCACTGATGACAGGAGGAGACCACACTCAGGGCACCCTCTGCAGAGAGCACGATGCTACAATCCCAACCTTGATGATGCAGGTTAAGTGTCATTTTTTTCCACTGCTGTCAATCTTGTGCTTACACATCCAGATGATAACTTAGTATCTGTTCTTTCGGGTATTATTCTCTAATATCTATAACCTCTTAAGCAAGAAGATTGATGTTGCATTGAGAATTACATAGAAAAGTAGGAAAGTCTACAGTTTCACTTAATCACGGTCCTGGAGTGAAACTGCCCCATCAATCATGCTTTCCCTGCATGGAACTTTAAAAAAATACACCAGAGGAATAACACTGAGCTCTGACATGCCAACCCACACTCCAAAACTTAGCGCAAAGACCTCATTAAATAACTACACAGCAGTAGAGATTGCTGGCATGGGTGTCACCCCACCAACAGCCACCCCCTGCAGAATCAAACCCTCCTCCTGAGCCTCCGTCACTCAGGCATCCTTGAAACCCCTACTCCACCTCTGGGGGATTTGCCATGTTCATATGATCCAGAACCAGACATTTGGTGTGGCCTATCCTTCATCCACAGGGACTTTTCTAAGCTGTACACATCACATGGTGACTTAAGGACAGCCAACAGTGTGGTTTCTACTGGGAAAACTGTGAAGATATTGGAAGCATCAGCTGCCACAGGCTCCCGTGTGACGGTCACTTGGGTGAAAGTCGCAGGCCCTGACGGAGCACGGTACCGGGAGGAGTAGGAGAACCACCCCCGTACCACATCGCTTGAGCCTTCAGGCCCTGCACCTGCAAACACCGTCTGCATTTATAAGCCAAACTGAGGACGTGAGGCTGCGACATCTGTCACCTCATTGATCACCAGGATTGACTCTGCCGATCTGGCTGGCTAGGAGGGTGTCCCCTTCCTCCACAACTGCTCCATGGGTGTCCCTCCCAAAGACGCATGCTAGATCAAAGAGGGCCACCTTCCTGGAATAGAGGAGGATGGGTCCTCAGTTAGGGGCATAGGAAGGAGTAGCTGTGCTCCCCTGCTGAACCCTCCAAACAAGCTCTCACAAGCCAAAGTGATCTGGGTCTCCATCATATCCACCCAAATTAATCCTAGCTGCCTGGACATGCTTGTTATAGCCCAATCAACATTGCCCTGTGCCTTCCTTGACTGTAAGGTATTACCATACCCAGCTTTCCATGGGGTTTCCAAATGGTCTTGGCTAGTGTCTCATGATAAACAAATCAGCAGGCCACTGCATTCTACCATTTTCTTCCTTACGAGGGAAAAGCTAGCATGGTAAACACAACAGAAAGTAACAGACCACGCCGAAATCTTTAGTGTAGTTTTATTTCCCGTAGAAACATGATTGTAAGTGTAGGTTATGTGCCCAGGCCAGATCACAAGCAAACAAGGTTACAACAGGATGTCCACAGCACATTTGGCAATGATGGTCATAAACGGGTACAGAGATTTCTTGTGGGAATTCAAAACCAGGTACACTGAAGGACATTCTGAAACAACGACTCCGATGTGAGCAGGAAGCCATAAGGGGTGTGGGCTGCAGTTTGGAGAAGGGCTGAGAGAACAGTAAGGGAGCATCTAAGAGTGGGTCAGAGGCTTAGAAGCTGCGTCAGAGAACCCGAGCCCCAGAGACAGCGCTCAGCACAGACGGCGACAGCTGTACCAGCGCCTGTGAGGATGGTTTCTGAGGAAGAGACCCCCTGGAAGAAATTGGAGCACATAGGAGGGGTGTGGGGAGGAGCACGTGGGGAGCTGGAGTAGCCTTCTCAAGTCTCTACCACGGACACACCTACTCTTCATTATTCTGGACAGGGAGAAAAAAAAAAAAACCAACCTTCTGTTAGGCGGTCGTCATTTGCTGGGGGCGAATCACCATGATCCAAAACTTCCCAGGCCAGAAGCTGGACTTCTCCAGAAAGGAAAACGACTTGAAAAAAAAATCTGTAGAGAACAGCCAGGACTCGTTCTGGATATTAGAGCTGAATTTAAAAAAAAAATGGCTTAAGAAATTTCCGAACATTCTTGGGGAAGGGAGAAGAAATAATTAAATTTATTTCCTCTCGTGTTCATATGTTAACATTTCCCTGGTCAAAGAGCAGGCTGCTGAAGCCAGCCCTGAATTCCTCAAATGAGCACAAAGTGGAAATTACAGAACAAACTGCAAAACGTCAGCCATGTCTCCCGTCACTGACAAGACTGGGGCGGGAGGGGGAGAAGCAGAGGTCAGCCTTGGCCCACAGAGCCGGCTCAGCTCTCCAGATCACACGCAAAGCTGACAGGCAAAAAGGCTAACAAACGTGTGATTCTTTAGAGCCGCGCGGTGCCCACCCAGATTAGCTTCTCCCTCAGATAAGGTAAGGAGATTAACACCTGAGCAGCAAGGAGGCAAAGAAGACGGCTTCTCTCAAAGTCAAAACCACTGTCCAGCTAAAGCAGACCTTCAGGAACTCGGGCCCCCGGAGCGAGGCAGTAATAGCAAACACATGGGAGGCCTTCCCACAGCCCTCTGTGAGCACGCCTGACCATCACAGCCATGTGGTCAGGATGCTGCTCTCCACAGCAGCCAATATCCCACTTGCTGCGGTTTAAATTCGCAGCACGTGCCTCTTTCTACCCTAGCAACCGAAGTGCAGCTCCTTCTCACAGAGGCTGCTGCAGGTGGAATGTATTTAGCAGGCCTGTCTTTTTTAAGATCCGCAATCTAATGTCAAATTTCTCATGAAATCCCAAAGTTCTTGAATTGCATTTCCTTCCTGGTGCTAGCAAAAAAAAAAACTGTTAATTTTTAATCAATAATACAGCACAAACTTAATGCGCTCATTCATTATGCTCATAATTTCAGCAGGATGGCAAAGTCCAAGGGATGGTATATTTCTCTGGCTAATTGAGAATGTAGTCCCTTTGACCCGAGCGTTTATATTTCTGGGCAAGGCTGAAGTCCCGAGAAAATTGATATAAAATGAATTTTGCAGGATCGCGCTTTAGGAAAGAAGAAATTGGCCACTGACAGCAAGGAAAACAATTCTCTGGCTGTGGATATTGCAAAGTCTTTCCAGAGGGCACCCCCTGGCAACACCGCATTGGCTGGAGTTTCAGCAGCTAAGGGGACCCAGGTTCTCAGAACCAATGCATCCCCCATAGGAGCAGCCAAGCAAGTGGTAGCCTTGGAGACTGTCTCATCTTCAGCCAGTAATTCTGTACCTTGCCAGACTGTTCATAGGTAGATTGTAGCTTCTCTCCATGAAATGGTGGCTATGCTAATGTACTGCTTACAGTAACCTTTCCTTGAGATCGTGATATTGTACTGTAAACTCCAGATGTGTAAATAAAGTTTACTGGTAAACACTAATAATAATTACTGCTTTGGGGCTTATGAGGTACCAGACATGATACCACGTGTCTATAACTTCAGCATTCAGGAAGCTGAGGCAGGAGGATCACACATTGTCAGAACATGGTCCAAGGGATGAAGTTCTGCAAGAGGAATTCTGTATGCTTGTGAGAAACTCCAAGAAAACAAGACAAGAGTCCTGTGACCTCAGTTTCTTGAAAAACGCAGAACTATTCTTGGAATGTGTTTTCCATGCCCCTCCTAGGTATAGTGGATAGCAATGAGTTTATTTCAGATTATTCATCACAACTGGGTGTTGTTACTTGTTTATATGGCTCTATGGAAAAACGTGTTTTTTTTTTGTCATGTGCAGCTTGTCCTTGTGACTATACACAGCTTGAACTCATAGAACGCTACCCATGTGACTCTTCTTAACCCTCGGAGCTTAAACTGACTGAGGCTCTGAATAACGCTGGCTGTGGCATGAGACTTCAGTCTGCCTCATGTTTAGGCTCCATTCTCCCAGGTTCTGCTGACTGTAGAGTGGTAAATAATACATGTCTAGAATTTTGTGTCATGAGAAGAAAGAGCCCAGAGAGGAGGTACCAGATGCTGCCTCTTGCTTGGTATCTGTGCATACAAACAGAGAAGACCATTGTCAAAGGGACTCGTGAGAGCAGTAAGCCTAGAGAGATGGCACCTTCAAAAGACACCCAGCGGCAGGCAGGTGACAGGCATTCAGGAGGCCACCAGGCAGGAAGAGTAGGCAGCACTCCAGGGGAAGCAAGGTCAGTGGCAAGGCCAGGCTGAGGAGAGCATCACACAGAAGAGGTAGGACTGTGGATTCCACCCTCCTTCCAAAATATGCCACTCCCAAATAGAACACACATGTAATCAGACACACAAACATACAAGTACATATGCATATGTGAACACAGGTACACAAAGACCCTGCCCCCCTCCCCCAACACAAAGTTTTCATTCACGGACAAGGTTTCCTATTCGGTTTCCAAAGCAGGAGGACTTGGGCCCTACCCAGCCAGGGTTGACAATTTCCATTGAGGATGAAGGCCATGCCACTGCAAGAGCTAAAAGCCAATGCCTGTGTCCCCTAGTCACAACCATGTGTTCTTGCTTTCCAGTTGACTAAAAGCACAGTACAGCTGCAGCCCAGCTCTCCCAAGCCAGGCAATCGTGGGCAAATGTCACAGAGCTTCTTCAATGAGCCTCTACGCACAGGCCTTCGTGCCTTTGGAAAACACCGTCCTGGGCATCTTTAACACATAGCTAAACAACTCAGACGCTTTTTAAAATATTGCATGTGCAAAATCCTCTGGGTGCGGAGGTGCTGAAGAGGCTCCAACCCAAACGCCACCTCTGCACCTCCAGACCTGCTCGGCACCTGTGTGGATAGGATCCTGCAAAGGACACAAACAGCAGCAGGAGGTGATTTCCTCTAGGAAAGGGGCCCACCATGCAGGTTGTTAATAACATCCCAAAGTTTTCGCGGCCCTCTCTGTCTGAGATCGCAATAGCTTTAATTAAGGCATGTGGGAGAGCTCCTCCAATCGTCATAATTACAGCAGTCATTTGAAATATTTAACTCCCTTTAATAATTCAAGTGAGCTCACAGTCAGTATCGATCACTTGATACGTATCACTGGCAAAGTGCTCTTTTGCAGAAGATGCCTCGTTGCTGTGCTTGCACACAGGCATGCACAGCCAGTCCTACGCTAGACTGGAGCCAGGCTGGCTGCACAGCCTCAGGTCCCAAGGGATCTTCTTTGTGCTCAACAACTATTTGGACTCACTCAACAATATGCCACTGTGCCTCCAACACCACCTCTGTCGCCACCACTGCTGCCGCCTCCTCCCCCCCTCCTCCTCCCTTGGCAGAGGACACAAGGTAACCGCAGCCATACTTCATATGGCACTTTCTGAATATGCAGGGAAAGGGTCTGAGGTTGTTTTTCTGAGTCCAGCTCCCCAAGGACTCATACACCTCAGAGAGGAAACCAGCTAACTCAGAACAAGTCATTGCTGAACATGCAAGGGGTGACAGGCAGTGGGAGACCTCTTTAACCCAATGCATAGCCACCTACTCCAGTCATTTGGGTCCAAAGCCGAGAGTCAGGTCCTAAGAACAGCACCCAGAGGAAAGATTAGCAATAAACACTTTGGGGCCACAGAAAACAGCACCTATCACATGCTCAGCATCAGATATGTGTGGCCAGGTGTTCAGCACAATGGTGCTAAAGTCAAGGAAAAACAGAACTGTCCCTGTTTAGGTAGTCTGGGGGCTGACGATGAAAAACTACATGCAGATTCTGGGCTTGCCCTTCTATCCGCCAGTAGAGAGGTGAATCCCAGGGCCTCTTCTAGACTACCTCCCCTTCTTCAAATTCCCTGACCCGCGACTGCCAGACCCTTCCTGCCACGGAACCCCGAAAAGGGACCTGGAGACAGAAAAAAAGCAGCGAGCATCATCAGCCACCATTCCGGCTTGCTCCTCTATCTGCTGGTAGAAAGGAAAGGGAGAGACTCCGCCTATACCCACTGGAAGAAGAGATGGGAAGACACCAGTTTAAGAACACATCCAACAACAGACTTATAGGACACCACCAGAATCTAGGAACTCTACACCAGCAAGACCTGAACATCCCAAAGCAGCTGAAACAGAAGAGAATGGCCTTAAAAACAACCTCATGAAAATGATTGGGGCCCGCAAAGAGGATATGGGAAAATCCCTTAAAGAAATGGAAGAAAAACAAAGAAAAAAGTGCAAGAAATCAACAAATCTCTTAAAAAAGCAAGGAAAGTCAAGAAAAAAACTATCAAACAGATGAAGGAAACAATTCAACAGTTCAAGATCTGAAAACTGAAATGGAGACAACAAAGAAAACACAACCTGAGGGAATGCTGGAAATAGAAAAGCTGAGTAAATGATCAGGAACTACAGATGCAAGGATAACCAACAGAATCCAAGAGATGGAAGACAGAATCTCAGGCACTGAAGATAAACTAGAGGAAATAGATTCATCGACCAAAGGAAATCTTAAGTCCAATAAATCCTTAACACAAAATATCCAGGAAATATGGGACACTGTGTAAAGACCAAACCTAAGAATAATAGGTATAGAAGAAGGTGAAGAAGCCCAGCTCAAAGGTGCAGAAAACATATCCAACAAAACCATAGAAGAAAACTTTCCCACCCTGAAGAAGAACATGCCTATGAAAGTACAAGAAGCTTACCAAACATCAAGTAGACTGGACCAAAAAAAAACAGTTACTTTGCCACATAATACTCAAAACACCAAAACTACAAAATAAAAAAAAGAATATTAAGAACAGCAAAGGAAAAAGACCAAGTAATATATAAAGGCAGACCTATTGGAATTACACCTGATTTTTCCATGGAAATTCTGAAAGCCAGAAGGTCCTGGATAGATGTTCTACAAACACTAAGAGACCACAGATTCCAGCCCAGACTACTATACCCAACAAAACTCTCAATCACTATAGATGGAGAAAACAAGATATTCCCTTACAAAACCAGATTTACACAATACATATCCACAAACCAAGCCCTACAGAAAGTTCTAGAAGGAAAACTCCAACCCAAGGAAGTTAACTACACTCACAATAACAGAGGAAATAAATAATCTCACTTTACTAAAAGCCAGAAATAGGGGGAAAACTCACATACAATACCACCGCCAAAAACGAATCCAAAACAAACAAGAATTAACAATCAATGGTCATTAATATCTATCAATATCAATGGTCTTAATTCACCTATAAAAAGACACAGGCTAACAGAATGGATAGGAAGATAGAATCCATCCTTCTGCCACAAACAAGAAACACACCTCAACTTCAAAGACAGATGGC